ATATCATGCTTACCAATCTAAAGGCACGGAGTACACTGGTTCCTGTGGCTTCAGTCCCTTGCGTTTGAACCACAATAAAATCAACCACGCTAATAATAACAACTAAGCCATCGAAAATATTCCATCTATTATTGAGATAAACTTTAAATCCCAGAGCTAAAAGCTTTAAAATCATCTCCATGAGAAAAATAAATGTAAAAACCTGTGAATTGAAATACACCTGAGTATTAGAGCAAAGTATATCAATTATCTATAAAATTCGATATTTCACGGTTCACGCTTCATGATGCGTTTGACCTAGAAGTATGAAAGGACAGGGGCGTGTGCAGGGGTTTCAAAAGAGGGAAAGGGAGGTTCCCACCTTTCTCTACTCACTTTTGTTGAAGTAGGCTACTGATTAAAATATTGCACGAGTGAGATCTTGCTTTCACGCCAAACAAACTATATTGGACTTTCCGAAAAGATATTCCGGCAAATAAAGTCTCATTTCAAAACTTTGCCGAGTAAATAGCCCTTACACAGGACCCTAAAGGGAAGAGTGGCAAGTTAATTTGTTGTTGACTTGCCATTTAGTTGGTTGATATCAGGTAAGCAATACTTACAATATTAGCTATGTTAACAGCATCCCGTAATACTGGATTCATTCCATGTGATTCAATAGCCATGAACAATGTATTCAACAATATGCAAAACACGATGAATCCTTCAAAGTATTTACTGTTCACAACTCGCTTGATTGTTCTTCGAAGTTTCTTCAATCGAACAATATGAACAGAGTCTTTTTTAGGCTCAGGTTTCGTCGCGACTATGATTGAAGAAGACTTTTCAGATCGCGGCGAATGTCTAGGAGAGGAATCTCGCGTCGATGAATTAATGATCCAGTTTTGATGCAAAGTTTGATTTTGATTTATGTTGTCAATTTCTTTTATTTGCATGACGCTTGTAACATCGTCCTCTGACTGGGACGTTAGGCTACGAGTGACCTTTGGAATATCATACATTTGATTCTGAAGGGTCTCATCAAGAATTGACTCGTTCTGTCCATACACAATGCTCATTATGCTTGAACGACGGACCGAATACGTCGAACTAACTCGCTTCTGCTCTGCTCGTTCTTCCTCTGTTTCCTATTGATAAAGATAATACATTATCAAATAAATTAATAATTAATTCTGTAATAATGATTATTAATGCACTACAGTATTTTTATTTATCTAGCTGTCTGTTGTCAACCTAAGTGACTGCGAAGATTGACCTACCAGTTTGCTTGCTTGTACTTCACTTTCATACGATGCAGCAACTACTGCTAATACTAGATTGACGAGATAAAATGGACCAAAGAAAATCAGCACTCCAAAGTAGATGACATACCAAGGACCCATAGCATAGATGATCTAACAAAAGCGAACAAGGACACCGTTACTWAGGTACATCAATCAATACATAATTCAATAGTTATCAAATCAGTCAGCATTTGTACGTACATTGTTGTAGATATCTTCCCAGAAGTCTAGGGTTACGATCTGAAAACTCGATAGTAATGCCCATCCAAAATGGTCAAAGTTTGTGTAGCCAAAGTTAGGGTTTGAACCTGCGTGTGGGAGACAGCTATAATTTGCTGGACAAAGCCTGAAAAAGAACACTGAATTGAGTTCACCTATTCAGCCAAAGTCAATAATTAGTCAAGTAAGTCATTTTATCCACTGTAAGCTGTCCCTCGATAAGTCTCATGTACATTTTTTGTCTGTCTCTCTGTCCATTTCGTTACGATACAGCCAGTAAAACAATACCTTGATCCCGTTGTATTGCCACAAAGGATGTAATCTTCACCGTCAAGTTTCCATATACCTTCAACAAGATACCCGTCAGTAGATGGTATGTCACTTGTACACAACGACTCACCTTCACAAGCCACCACTATCACCTCTACAACAACCATCACCATGACACCACCACTATCACCTCGACAACAACCATCACCATGACACCACCACCACTATCACCTCTACAACAGCCATCACTATGACACCACCACCACTATCACCTCTACAACAACCATCACCATGACACCAC